GTGATTCGTTCACTAAATGCCACATTTTTTTCCAGTGAACAGACTTGGATTTCAAAACTGTCATATGCATTGCATTAATATTATCTTTTGCAAAACAAATTGTTTTACTCGCGAGAAAGCATTTGACATCAGGAAAGTTTCTACAATGCGAAGTTTGATAGAAATAAGATATAGAGCGCCCGAGTACTCCTTTGAGCAGGGGCAAGTCACGTCAGGTAAACGTAAGCAGAGTCGGTCATTCCTAGATGCAGTTAATCTGGGGCAATCAGGTCGAGACTCATCAAACCACTCGAAGGCCAGTCGAAGACGCCATTCCCTAAGGTCGGTTAATCTGGGGCAATCAGGTTGAGATTTGATAAATCTCTCGAAGTCAGCCAGGGGCACTTCTCTACAAATCAGCCAATTAGGGGAAAATCACTTCAAAGCTGGGGCAGGTCACCCGAAGAGCACAAAGACTATCCTTGTCCAGAAAGGAAATTAACTTGAAGCACTTCTTCGGGGTTCGAAGCGCTGGGGCAGTTCATATCTAACCATCAGGGTACCGAAATTTCAGGTTTCCTTTCGAGGAAGGTTTTTACAAAAGTCCCACAGGCTGGGGCAAAATCGTAAACAAAGGAGATGTGTTCCTCTCCATATCTTCAAGAGCTTATCAGAGTTATAGAAGCAGATTTGGGTTTATTTTCCCAGCAGTAGGGCGAGCGCAGTACTGTTATCCCCACAGAGTCTAAATGGTTGACTTCTTTTCCCCTCAGAGTCTAGGTCATTGACTCATTCCTCAAGCGGAAGTCGTATTTGTTGAGTTTACTTATCATTTTCCCCAAGCAGAGATTGATGTTGATTCCCTCCGTATCTAATCCCCAGCCAAGTCAGTGGAATTAATCCTCCTCCCCACAGAGTAGGGCTGACTCAGAGATTGTTCATCTCCATCCCCAGCAGAGAAAGTGTGGGATAAATTCCCGGTAAGTCTTATTCAACATCCCTAGCAGATAGTGGATTCAATCTCCGACAGAAGAGAGTTATTCCTCAGCAATCTGCTATGTTTCCCCAGTAGGGTTATTCTGGCTAATCATTCATGGTTGATTTCCCCGGTAGAGTGGAGTTGTTGTCTCTAGCCAAGTGGCTTGTTCCCCAAAAGAGTTGTAGACTGATAGGCCATCCGGGACGTTTTCCGCAGCAGAGTTTGATTTGGATCCCCAGCGGAATGGATTTATTCTTAGCAAAGCAGTTTTACCCAGAAGTTTTTCTCGGAGGCCATCCAAGGCTTGTATTCCCCAACATGAGTTTGTTTGCGCTAGGCGTATCTAGCCTTTCCCCAACGGAGTTGGCTCTTTCTCTTTAGCATTTATTTTGCTAAAGTGGTTCATTTGCATCTACATACGTGCATAGCATCTACCCGAACGCGAAGCATTCCCATTTCGTATGGAGCATTTCGTCATATCCAAACATATGCATGTGAAACATAAGCTGAGTCGTTACCCTTTTGTTTCAAGTGAACCTCACAGACGATCAGCATCTTTGCCCGTTGTGTTGTTTATACCCCAGCTCGTGTTGTTTCCCCAGCGGATTTCTTTTGTGATTGTCACCAAAGGATGGTCTTAAATTTGTTCGAATCTCGTTGCTCGCTTGTATTTAGCGAAGGTTTGACGGCGATGTCAATAATCTGATTTGATTCTTCAACGGCGATGTTGAGAAGTTAGTTTTGACGGCGATGTCAAATGATTTGATGTTTCAGCGGCGATGTTGAATGTTTGTTTCTGGCGGCGATGTCAGAGTGATTTGTTTGTTCAGCGGCGAGGTTGGATGATTGTTTCTGGCGGCGATGTCAGAGTGATTTGTCTCTTCAGCGGCGATGTTGAAAGTTCGTTCCTGACGGCGATGTCAGATGCTTTGTTTTCCCAGCGGTGAGGTTGGATGTTTGTTTCTGGCGGCGATGTCAGAGTGATTTGTTTGTTCAGCGGCGAGGTTGGATGATTGTTTCTGGCGGCGATGTCAGAGTGATTTGTCTCTTCAGCGGCGATGTTGAAAGTTCGTTCCTGACGGCGATGTCAGATGCTTTGTTTTCCCAGCGGTGAGGTTGGATGTTTGTTTCTGGCGCCGATGTCAGAGTGATTTGTCTCTTCAGCGGCGATGTTGAAAGTTCGTTCCTGACGGCGATGTCAGATGCTTTGTTTTCTCAGCGGTGAGGTTGGATGTTTGTTTCTGGCGGCGATGTCAGAGTGATTTGTCTCTTCAGCGGCGATGTTGAAAGTTCGTTCCTGACGGCGATGTCAGATGCTTTGTTTTCCCAGCGGTGAGGTTGGATGTTTGTTTCTGGCGGCGATGTCAGAGTGATTTGTCTCTTCAGCGGCGATGTTGAAAGTTCGTTCCTGACGGCGATGTCAGATGCTTTGTTTTCCCAACGGTGAGGTTGGTTGTTTGTTTCTGGCGGCGATGTCAGAGTGATTTGTCTCTTCAGCGGCGATGTTGAAAGTTCGTTCCTGACGGCGATGTCAGATGCTTCGCTTGTATTTAGCGAAGGTTTGACGGCGATGTCAGGTAGTTTGGTTCTTCTAATGGCGATGTTGGATTTTGTCTTGACGGCGACGTCGGAGGATCGTATCTTTGGATTCAATATCTGTTTGTATTTAACAGAGGACTGACAGCGAGGTTAGATCTTTTTACCGACTTAATGTCGAGGCCTGACCGTGAGGTCAGATGCTTTTACCGATTATTTTAAGAATTGACGGCGAAGTCAAAACTGTTGGAAATGACGGCGAAGTCAGAAGATTGTTTTAAGAGATGACGGCGAAGTCAGGGGCTTTACCAAAGTCCTGTGAAAAATTGACGGCGAAGTCAGAAAATATTGAAGACCGACAATAAAGTCAGTTGATTTATAGTTTTGACGCTGAGATCTGACAGCGAGGTTAGATGCTGTTAAAGGCTGACGACAAGGTCAGACGTTCTACTTGATATGGGTGCCTGGCGGCGATGTCAGAAGTTCGTATCGCGATTGTCAAATTTCCGGGTCCTTGGGTATTCAACCGTCTTTTACCTTGATTGTATGAAAGTCGCTTACCTTTCATCCCTTCAGGTCTAAGTCGCTTGAATAGGGGCAGCTGTTGTACCCCAAAATTTGACCGACCTCTCTGGCTTATGTTTTATTTCATTGCATCAGCACATACATAAGCATTGCATTGCATAGCATTTTGCAGTTCGCAGGGAATCAAGAAATGTGTGCCTAACAAAAATTACCAATGGTTTTTAACCTGATCAAGGAGGTTATATTCAAGTCACCAAGTGGTTACCCTTATCAGAGACAAGTCAAGGTCCTTGAAGACAAACAGATAAGCATATGTGATTGTCAGGGGGCAGAAAAATCAAAAAAATATATATGTTGCTTCCATCATAAGATTGAGCTGAATTGGATAGGTTTTGGTTGGGGTTCATTAAGTAGGAATGAGTGAAGTATATGTCGAAGTCCAGGTTTGACTCAATTCATCAGCAAGAAAGGGATTTATTTTGTTATCAAGGTCATGGTGCATTGATTTAAATGGTGCGTGACTAAAGCCCCAACCAGGGTTATGGGCAGTGTACCGAAGTTCATTTCTCAAGTCATAATATCTTGATTTTTCAAGAAGTGTTCCATGAAGGTTTCAACTCATCACGTTTTCAAATGGCAAACATCAAGAATGATTTGACAATTGACTCATGATTAAGTTTGTTCTGTGACTGACTTTAATGCTCAAGGACTAATTCAAAGTATCATCCAAGTCAGGGAAGATTTGAGAGTAGTTTTAATTGAGAACACGCAATTATTTGTGATTTCAATTATGATTGCTTTCTAATCAAGAAATGGAATAAGTCAGGGCATTGCAGATTTATTTCAAAGACTTATTGTATTACTAAAAACCATGAGAACGGAAGTCTTTTACAAGATAAAGGAAATTGGCAGGATTCCTTTCTATGTAACATGTTCTAATAGGTTAGCATGCAGTGAAGTGCGTGAATTTGATTTTCGAGTCAATTGTACTCAAGAAGCCAACACTGCAAGTGAGAACAGGAGCAGCAACAGTCTTGATACTTTTAATAAACGGTTTGGAGAACTGTTGTCGCGGGATCAAGAGTTCCCTCAGAGTTTAGATTCAATTAGTGTGAATGAGAAATTTCAACTGAGAAGTAAAATCCGTTCATTGTTTGGGAGGGAGGATGATGAATGAAAAAATACTGAAATATACTTTAGAGAAAGATTTTTCTCCAGAACTTGTACAGGAGAAGTTGCTTCAAAATCTTCAAAAAGATAAGCTATATTCATGGCTCCTTCTGAAAGCAACCGAAGATGGAAAAGGCCCGAATGTATTAGATGAAGGTGGTCAAGGTGTGCTTCATTTTGCAGCTGCTCTTGGCTACGATTGGGCCTTGGAACCAACAATAGTTGCTGGTATGGATGTGAACTTTCGGGATGTTAATGGATGGACTGCTCTTCATTGGGCAGCTTTTTGTGGCGGGGAGAGAACAGTTGCTTCCCTCATATCTCTTGGAGCAGCACCAGGAGCACTTACCGACCCATGTCCACAACATCCTTCTGGTAGAACACCAGCTGACCTAGCTTCTGCAAATGGCCACAAAGGAATTGCTGGTTATCTTGCAGAATCTTTCCTGAAGTGCACAATTCAAGTCTATTGATTTGAAAAAAAGAAGTTGGAGAAAGTTTTGGAGCAAAAATAGTACAAAGGGTCCATGAACAAAACACTTCTCAACTTAACAATGAGAAGATATCACACGAACTTTCAATGAAAGATTCTTTGGCTGCAGTGTGCAATGCAACTCAAGCTGCTGCTCGTATTCATCAAGTTTTCAGAGTGCAATCGTTTCAGAGAAAACAACAAATAATAACCAATCTGAACATGAAAATTACACCTATGTCTATTTCATTAAATGATCCAAAACCATGTGTACATACACACTTCGACAACCCACATAAAATTTTTTCACCAACTACGTGCTCTTCTCGTGACTAATCCATGACTTCTTCAACCACTTCTGATGCCGCTGTTGCGGCGGCGAAGTTCGCCGGCCACCGCGGGACTAGCATGTCTAATACTGTCCATTCTGAAGTGGCCTCTTGCTTGATGTTACCTTCACTTACAGTTCTCGGTGGAGCTTCCGATCAAGACCTACGACTATTTGATTCACTGATGCAGTTGAACCGCGACGATATCCTCTCGGAGTCCAGTAGGATCGCTGAGACGCTCCGGCACACTGATGTGTCGTACTTGAATTTAAGAGATGGTGCCAAGGTCCTGTCAAGAAGAAGATCTCTGGTAGCGCATTACCTGAAAAGAAGCCCTTGAAATTTAGTTCTTTCTTACTCAAGTCAGACTCAAAAAAAAAAAAACAATAATTCAACCCATAGCCGCTTGCTTGATGTTTTTTTCTTACAAATGACATTTCTACATGGTCTCCTAAGAAATCAAAAGTTAAGAAGAAAGGCGGCAATGAAATATCTGTCGCACCTGATTTTGCTGTGCTTCAAGATGATATCATTCGAAGGTTTCGCGAGTTTTTGGAAGACCTATGTAGCAAAGCTGAATTGAATAATGATGGTCTATATGAAGCAGTTGAATGGTTGCCATTGCCTCTTTCAGATCTTAGATTGCTTGTAAATGAAATCAAGTCTATACGTAAAAAGAATCTTCTGCATCTGGTTCCTGTATAATTCCTTGTTAGACTGCTAAATAATCAGATACATAGAGCAGAAGGCCTGTCAATGGAGGATGATGTCAATTCCAATTCAGAACTAGTTTCATCTCTCTTAGATGGGATCCATTCGTGATGCACTGGTGGTGATGGCTCATACTGACATGCCAAAATAACTCATATCAAAATCACAGACAATTACGTCCACGATCGGAACTCAAAAGCGGTTCGTTGTTGCTCGTAGTACCGAGATTTAAAGCAAACGGCATCACAGGCTGTGAGTAGGACTGGTCAAATGTTTTTTTTCCAGTTCTTGTGAGTTGATGAAGCAGTGTTAGAGAAGATAATTCAAGGGCCCTGTTGGTGTCTACAAAAAGAGAAGGCATTGGCGACTGATGGTATTGCTGGGCTTTGCCGTGGTTTCAACATTTCACATGTTGAATCATTGTTTGCCGTGGTCTCTACTTCGGAGTGTATGAGTCCTTGAGGCCAGCCTATTTCATACTCACCTGCCACTAGAATTCGGCACGGTTTTTGTACGGATGACCATGACCTGCTGTAAGGAAATTTCAAACGAAAAAGTGAGCTACCACAACAAGAGAAAAAGGAAAGGAAAGAGGTATCTACAAGAAAATTTATACCGTTCCACCTTCGTAAATCAGATAAGCTGGCCTCATTTTTTTTAACTACAACTTGATACAACCTTCACTACATGACGAATAGAGAGGACCATAAGCTCTTTTACCACATCATAATCTGCTGTGGACCCACAACAAATCACACCAAATGCCAAACCATCACAATGGTACACGGCTGCCCCAAAACCTCTGCAAAACTTCAGATCCCCAAACTTGTACAACATTGTGAAAACACAACCAAACCACTACTACAAGCCCACACACAACCAAACCACTGCTACAAGCCTACAACTAGCCAAAAACCCTGCAGAAAACAGACAAAACCGTACCGCCAGACAAGACCTGCTACATACCAGCCTGCTGCAATAAACCTCCACGCCAGACAACCTTTCTGCACAACAGCAAACCATGAGAAACTTGTCCAAATCACACCATAAAACAAACACACACACAACAAAGCCTGGAGGGATATACACAAAAAAACCATAAAATGACTAACCTTCTTCAAATTTCTTCCAGACTTTTCTTCCTCATATAACCTCGACATGTTTTAACACTAGCATACAACTACTCAAAACTGCCAATATCTCACCTTCAATCACTAACCTTCAACCTCTAACCATTCACATAGACCACCCAAAACTCACTCTTCTCCGATCTCCAAAGTTCTGCTGACTTGATTCAAACCCTACCTTTAGTTTCAACAAGCCGAAAACGACTTGCTCCTCTTCAACAGACCGTAAAGCCCTCACTGAAGCAACAACACAGCCCTTAATCCTATCTCCATTTAACCAACCTCTTCTCTTCAAATAAAATAGAGTAAAGAACACCAATGTGAAAATCTCAGAGGGAACCTTCAAACCGAAAATTCCTTCAAACTAAAAGCTAACCTTGTTCTTCAGCAACATGAAATCTGCAATGAACAACATCTCTGACCAGAACCAACAACCATTACCATCTTTAACTCCAAACTCCACCGTTAAGTTTTCCTCAGTTACTTCTCTTCAACATCCAAGGCGAACCATTCAATCTTCGATACCCTAAACTTTCAACCATATGAACTCAATCATCTCCAGCCGTCATCGCTCTTCAAACATTCGAAACTCACCACAACAAAACCTGCTCTTCAACAACAACTTCAAAACCTTTTCACAAACAGTTGGTGTGCACATATACACTTCAATCCAACCCCTATTTTGAAACCCCCTTCAACACACCAACAACACCTCTGCGCCATCACTCTCACCTCCATTCGAAATCCATTAACGAAACTCCAGACAACCCATACAGTCAACCATCTTCATCGTACCACCTGTATAACCTTCTTCAAACAAACACACAACCATCAAAACCATAATAGTACTTTCATCAAACCCGTGAAATCTGAATCAAACACACAAAACTAAGATCCAGGATCAAAATCAAACAAGAACTGATAAATAGAACAAGGAACGCACCCCGTATCGAGACCCTGGGCGTGAATCTGGGAGCGAGTCGGAGGTGAAAAGAGGAAAAGAAGAATTGTAAGGCAATCGAAAGAAGGTTGGGGCCGACACGACGCCATCACGGTGAAGGTGATGATTCTGGGCGGACCACTTCATCTCCTTTCGCTCAGTTTTCTTAGATGGCCAACAAATGTAAAGAATTCGAGTTCTATATCGCTTCGTTGAGGATGGAGTTTCTTTGATTCTGACCATGTCCGTTGAGGTATCGTGTGAGGAGAGAATGAGGGGATTTGGACCTGTGGATTTTGTTTTTTTCTCAATTTACTGTGTTTCTTATTTTTAAACTTTTTTTTCTTTTATTTCATTTCTTTTATTTTGTTTAAGAAAACTTATATATTATTATCATCGTTATTATTATTATTTTGTATATTTATTTTGTAAATTATCTTTTTTCTAAAAAAAAACTGTTTTGTTTATTTTATATATATATATATATATTTTAATATTATATATGTTGTTAGAACTTTATATTATTTTCTAGTTTATATTAAGTTTGTTATATCGTATTTTATGTTATAGTGTTTTTAGAATTTCATTTCAATTTACATTTAGAAGTTTATAGCATTTTATTTTGCATTTGTTATTGGGCACTTTGTCCCATTTTCTGTTTTTTTGGGTCGATGACGAGACCACCTTCGATTCTCTGTCAAATTATTGATGAGAAATGAAGGATCTGAGACCACCTCTTTTCTCTCTTCTTTTCTTGTCCCGATTCGATTCCGAGTCCATTTTTAAACCATCTTTAAAATAAATTTCTCTTTGTATTGAGCTAAAAAGAGAGGATTGGGTGTAGACCTCTTCTTCTTCGAGTGTTGGGATGCCCACTGTAGTGAGGGTGGTCTCGATACTCGTCTTTCAATATGAAGATGCGACTTTGTCCACCACCTCTCACTTTCACAACTTCATCCCGCAACCCTTGTCACCTAAAACCTCGGTCTCGCGCCGAGTGCATTTTCAAAAATCATTTTTATAACAAAACTTGAATGGTCGTGAAGTGGTTAGGCGTAGGCCTTCTCCTATCCCGAGTACTGACGTTTACCGTAGGGTTCTCTGTCGCCAAAGTACTTACCATTCAAAACCAAAAACATTTAATAAGAGAACGAAGTCCTCTTTGCATTGAATTAAAGAGAGAGGATTGGGTGTAGACCTCTTCCTCTTCGAGTGTTGGGATGCCCACTGTAGTGAGGGTGGTTTCGACGCTCGTCTTTCAATACGAAAACGCCTCGTTCGCCACACCTTTTATAACAAAAACTTTGAGACAAAGAATTGGGTACTACCCGTAGGGGTTACTATCCGAGGACCTGTCTCGCCCCCTAAAAAACAATTCAACCAATCAAACGTGACTTCTTGCCTCGCGTGGCGAAAACCTAATCTTTCGAAAAGGATATGTTATGTCCGTTCTACCGCAAACAGGTAACGCCTAAGTCTCCAACGAGCGAGCAGTAAAACACCTAACTGCTAGAATGCGCACGATAGCATCATCCATAAAAAACACTGGTTACCCGTAGTAGCACGAACTACGTTTGCTCTGATTTCTCATGCCAGATGAGAATACGTAGGCACAAGACGGCGATGTCTTGGTGAGCTCACTTTTTTCACCTTTCACCCGTAGTTGGCCGAACTACGGCTGCTCTGATTCTTTACTTCTTTTTGAGTAAAGATACGTAGGCACAAGGGCCACAATCCTTGCCGAGCATTTTCCCCCCATATCTGTAGTTCCCCGAACTACGTCGACTCTGACTTTCTCACATCTATTGAGAATACGTAGGCATAGGACTGCGAAGTCCTACCGAGTCTGTTATTTTTCTTCTTCCCCCCGTTATTTCTCTATCCCTCCTTTCTTCGTTTCTAAACCCTTCTCTCTATCTTTTAGAACACTCTTTTTATAGCATAATATTTAAGCAGATAAATTCACACATCGACAAACAAAAGGTTCCCATCGAGTACGATGGATGCGAGGGGTGCTAATACCTTCCCTTCGCATAACCGGCTTCCGAAACCCGCTCTTGGTCGCGAGACCATCTTATCCATTTCTTTCTTAAGGTTTTCTCGATATTTTCCTTTCCCCTCATGGGATAAATAAAGTTCGGTGGCGACTCTTCTGTCTATCTTTTTCGCCTCCCCGTCGTTGCGCGATGCATTTTTTCGAGTAGCGACAAGAACGTGTATAATTAGCAAGGTACATTAGTGAATTGCACTGAGATATGGTACTTCAGGATCAAGCAATTCTTCATCCTTTTCTCAAGGTCTAAAAGTATCTTTCACTACATCTAATGATCTAACAACCATTGGAGTAGACAACGAGTGACATTTGTCCTTATAGAAGCATTTTAACACCTTTTCTATATAATCTTCTTGATGTACAAATATTTTTTTGTCCAAATGTATTTAATTTAAAATCAGATTAAATATATTAGGGTTTTTTCTTATATTAGAGACTAAAGTAAAAATAGATCAAAACCAGAATACCATGTTTTGCAACACTTTGTTTGGCAAAGGGAAACACATGAGGCACTATATCATCAGAGAGATTCATGGGTTTAGATGCTGCTTCTTTTTGCATCTTAACTTTAAGGCCTTGTTCCCTTAGCAACTTTTCTAGCTTCTTTGGTTTCAACCATATCCAATTCAATATGCTCCATGCCCAAGCAAGCGTTATCAACAGAACTATGAATGCAGATATTGCATATGTTGCTTCCATCTCTTTTACTTTCTGTGTTGTTAGAGACACGCAAAATGAGGTAATGATAAAATCAAATTGTTGTCTTAAATAGCTTTGCAATGAATGGATTTCTTAAATATTAAGTGTATGTGTAGTATATTTTATGCACTATAAATAGAAAGATACAAAAAAGTATTTATTGAATTGTTGTTTAGCCAAAAACAAGTTATTAATTTAAATACTCTTAAAGATGGTTACAAAATATTCAATAATAGATTTTTATTAATATTAATATTTTATAATTTTTGTAAAAAATAATCATGTTGATTTTTATTTGGTTTTTCATGGATTTTCTTCATTTGAGATATATATTTTTATTCTAGACCCTATTAAACTCTAAATATAGACTATTCTAATATTAGATATACCTAATAATAGTTTAGAGTATGTAATACATTTTGAGAAGATGAGAAGGCTTGAGATTCTATATTGTGCTCATCTTTAAATCTTAAGTTCAAGTCTTTCGTATACTAATAATTTATGTGTTAAATTAGTTAAAACATAACATTACTTTCACATCAATTAAAATTCTTGCAATTGGACGATTTTAATTTGTCATTCTTTATTCTTTAGATTGAGTATCAAATGTTCAAATAAGAAAAGTCTTCTGGCCTGTTACAGGATTCTATTGAAAAAAAAATACAATTACAACACAAAAACATAATGTGAAAATTTTAAAATCGGAGGAAAATTACGGTTGTTGTCAATAAACAATCAGAGAATAACACCACGAAAATTGTTATAAAACATAATATATTCTCAACTAACCCAGATCCCAAATACACTCACACCCTCCAAAATAAACATTTATCTACATCTCACAACACTCTGATATAAGAGTATAAGAGAATAAAGAAAGTTAAATACAAACTTAAAGTACTTTTGACTGGTACATTTTAAAATGAAGTGATGCGGAACTTGAAGAACTTGTATTTTATATATAACCTCGGATTCTCTCTTCATTCACAAAATTAAACAATGTAGGAATTCTTCAACATATATATTTTCAACCATCCGCAACAGATTCAACAACTGCGACAGAGAGAATGCAACAATTCACCAAAATTATTTGCGGCGTATGAGTTTTTCATGGGGCAGAATATATTTGGTAGGGCCTTTTTCTGATAGACAATGCAAATAGGGCCTTTCTCAGTGTTATAAATTAGAGCAACCGAAACTAAATAACGGAAATTATAAATAAAACGAAGAAAAGCCTCAATGTCATCTTTCACTCATAACAACTATTGCTCCTCCCGAGTATTTGCACAACATCGTAAAAAAAACTACAAACAAAACAAAAGATGGGTGTGAATACACTCAAATATATTAACAATGTATTGAGTCGAGTTGTGAGTCACATTGCATACATAAAGGCATTTTGAATGGGTTGTTGTTGTTGTAAATGAATTGTGTGTTTGATGATTGTTGTTATTTGATGCTACCTTTGTATTCGCTTACATTGTTAATATATTTGAGTGTATTTTCACCCATCTTTTGTTCCTCATCTAAATCATCAATCTAATCCAAATGTAAGAATATGGTTATCAAACCAAAACCCCAATAACCTGAACATTCAAACTCATATTTTCACGTACACATTATACACGAAATTCATTAATCAACTAAAGCACAAATTCCATAATAGTCACAATAATTATCACCGATATCACACAAAATATTAGACTAATTCTCATTTATCTTAATTTTCAGCAGTAAGTTTCCAACTTTAGTTATGTCTTCTTATTCCTATATCTCTTCTTAGAGATCCTAGCCACTTGCCTCCTTTTCCACTTTTCTCAAATTCTACCTATGGAATAAAAGTTCCAGTACCTCACAATATCTATATAAATGACCTAATTATATTTTTCATAATTCTCAAATTTCCCTCAACTTATCGGCTCTTACTCCTGATCACACTAATTTCACTAAAATTCTAATTCCACCCCATAATTCACTATTCCTCTTATTTTATTATTTTTAATTAATTAAAATCTACTAACTCTCAACAAAACCCAACAAAATACCACATAATTGACACAAATCATATAAAGCATTTTAATCACCCAAATAATTAAATAATAATCAATAAAAAACCAATTATATAAATTAATCAAATTTGGGACATTACATCAGACACGATGTCTGAGACATTGTATACCATAACTAAAACCTGTTTGCAATAAACATATAACAATTTGGCCTATACAATATGATGAAGCAGAAAAGCAATAAAGAATACAAGAGATTGGTAACCCAGTTCGGCGAAACCACAACTATATCTGGGGGCACTCTACCAAAGAAAGAAAATCCATTACTTTGAATTAGTACACTTAGTCTTACAAGAACCAAAAATCCTATGTTGTTTAAAGTCTCTTCCTAATCTTAGTGTCTTCCTATTTAAAGACTCTCTATAAATATGAGAACATACTCAGTTTCTTCTCAATCACAAACCCCATGATTGGTTTTTACAACTCAATGAACAATGTTGAATATTATAACTCAACTAAGGCAAGCCAACTATGCCAAGTTACTAAACATAGTGTATAACAAAGATTTAACATTAATCCAATTATGACATTAGCGTAGAATAAAAGAAACACTATGTTCTCAAGCTTATAAACTTAATACATTGGAACAAGGTTTACAACTCAATTAACAAGCTAAACTTTATGCCTTAAGATATGAAACGAGGTGCTAGAGAGGTTCACAAATTAAGACTCAAAAGATAAACCCTAACACTAGGTATCTTCATAACTTGCACGCCTCAAAAGTGAGGTGAGTGTCTCCTGAAATAGAAATGCAATTATGGGTTTTTCTCCTTGGATTTCTGATTTGATTTCATCTAGAATAATAGCAAAATCTTATTAGATTTGATTTACTCCATAAAATTCTCCAACAAAATATACGATTTTTTAAAATTCAAATTCATATTTAAATATCCATTTAAATTGGTTTGATCTTCAACAACTGTCAAACAAATTATACAAACACATTGCCCAAGTACAACAACAAATCTGATCGAATGTAAACCAGATTTTTGCTCCAAAATCACAACAGCATTGGCCTGCTGAACCAGGGCCAAATGTTACACTGAACACATTCTGGAACAATGTGTTGTTGGAACAAGTTTGTCTCTCAAACTATCTTTGAGTTTTATTGATAACAAAGGATAATATGTATAAAGAACAATTTTGTACTCTAATTATTTTTGTGAAGTATGCAGATCAAAGAAAACCAATTCTGACTCTGAAAAAGTCAACTCTGGACAAACCAGACTTTGAACTGTAGATGCACTATAAACCAAAGGAAGAAGAAAAGGCGTGTTTTAAATGAAAGTCAAGCATATGAATTACCAAGTCAACGATTCTGTAAGAATTTATCTAGAATGACTCTGATAAAGAATATGATAATTCAAGCCTTTGAAATTTGAAGACTCTGAACTTTATAAACTCTGAAGTCTCATTTTCACCAAATTCAAAAGACATACTCTGAACTCTATTCAAGCTCCATCAACTTAAATACGAAGTCTTTTACTAGAATTTAATGACTAAAAAAAGAATATGTGGCAAGAGCACAATCAATACAAAATTAAATATCCTTTCTACTACCCTAAAGACCAGGAAAAAAGATTGTGCTATTGCACCAACGTGGTTCCTTTTGTTCCATCCTCTCACCCACTATATGTTGCAAGCACCACTCTACTGTTGTATAATCTAGCGACTTCGTACAAATGTGATATTGAGAATATTCCAATTCCACCCTCCAACGGATCTATTCGTCATCTATTTAAAGATGTCTTGGAATTTCGAAAATTATTGAAGAAATAAGAGAAGGAAAAGAAGTGTTTTCACGCCAAGAAAAATATCACATTCATACACTTAGAATTCTTTTTGAATATATCTCTTAAGAGTAATCTCTATTTTTTATTCGTGTATCTGCTTACTTTAGAAGCAACTTTTGTAGACATAATATTATAATCTTAACATTTGGTTAAATACCTTGAAAAACTAGGTTATAATCCAGATTCTCAAGAAGTCTTAGACATGTTATCTTTAAGTTTGTAATCAAGTCTTTAATTAGTGGATTAAGTCCTTATTGAGAGAGAAAAATCACTCATGTGGGTGGAATAGATGTAACTTAGTTAACAACGAACCATGATAAAAAAAATATGTGTCTTTTATCTTTGTTGAATCTTTGATGTTTTTGTTCTTGGGTTGCAAAAAAGTTTTAATATAGAAACCCAATTTAAAAATACCTTTCATGTGTTTCTTGAAATTTCAATTGGTATCAGAGCTCCGGTTCAGGTATTTATATTTATATTAAACACTTAACCATGTCAGTAAAAGATCTAGTTTTTGAAACAAATTATGGTAGCTACTAATGACAAAAAAGATCACTACTCTTCTAAACCTCCAGTCCTTGATGGACACAAGTTTTATTATTGGAAGAATATAATCGAAAGCTTCTTCATTGGTTATGATGTAGACTTGAGGGATATGTCATTAATGGCTACACACATCCCTTAGATACAAATGGTACTAAGTTGGAAAGAAGCAAGACGAGTGACCAACTTAAGAAAGACAAATAAAATCATCACAGGTCAAGAACCATCCTGCTAAATGCTATCTCATACACTGAGTATGAAAAGATAACAAATAAAGACTATGCGAAGTCTATATTTGTTTCTCTTAGAATAACCCATGGAGGAAACAAACAAGTAAAAGAAACCAAGGCTTTGGCCTTGATTCAAAAGTATGAAGCCTTTCAAATGGAGGATGATGAAATAATTGAGGACATATTCTCAAGGTTTCAAAAGCTTATAGCTAGCTTAAAGCTTCTAAACAAAGGCTACACTTGCAGATCACGTGAAGAAGATCATTAGAAGATTTTCAAAGAAGTGAAGGCCTATGGTGTCTACTCTTAAGGTGTCCAAAAATTTGAACAGTACGAATCTAGAAGAACTTGTAAGTTCTTTAATA